GCCGCCAATCGTCATCATTGGCACACATTTTTAAATTACGTGAAAAAATATACATAGCTCACACACCACATATAATTTATATTTTACATTTTTACGTATGCCTGGGCGGCTGTATCTATAGATATACGAGGTAAACGATATACTTATAGTAATATAGCCTATGGGTGCAACTGAGATTTCAAATTTTTTGGGTCTGCCAACTCTTTTGCTGGTTTCTAAAAATGTTGTTACTAAAAAGTAAAAATCATTAATGCAACTTTTTAGATTCATAGAACAACTATACGGGCGAGAGTGTGCAGAGCACAAACTTCTATACTACACTTTATACTATTTAGAAATGTACTATATGTACTATATACTATTTAGAAATGTACTATATATACTATATACTATTTAGAAATGTACTATATGTACTATAGTCTATACTCTATAATCTATATGTCTATATGTACTATAATATGCATTATGCACTATATTATAGAAATCTGTAGTAGTAGCAAGTAGGTACATGTCGGTAGTTTGATCATTTTTCTTTTCGTCCGTGGGCAAGTGACAAATTATTGAAAATCCCCACTGCCCGCTGGGACATTCCTCATACTTAGGTATAGATTTTGGGGATGGTAGTTGGTATATATTATTATAAATTATGTCTATTATGTCTTATAATAAGTTAAGCAACTATTGTACGTACCTATATATAGTATTGTATAATATTAATTATTGTATTATCATTCATTTATTTCTTTATTTAATTCCGTAGGTAAGTATAACAGGTTAGGTACCAACATTTTTGTATAATAATTGATAAATATAATGTCTAAGAAGTTATATCGAGTATTCGAGTAGTTTATGTGTATATATATCATAATTCCTTTTGGATTTTATAAACTTTCAAGCTTCAAAACTTCACTAAAATAGGTTGTTAACAAGACAATATCGCGTAAACTCGGTAAAATTATATAAATTAAAATAATAAAGGTATGAATGTGAATTGCCAACACAAGTTTATAATCACTCAATAGTCAATTGTGATTTGTAAAAAAAAGAATGATTGCGGTGAGGGTACTGAGTACTACTGACTAGTGACTATTGAGTTGCGAGCGTTGGGCGCTAATTTTTATATTTTCCGGGCCTGTCTAGTCAGTAGTCCGTCAGGTGTAGCTATTTTTAATATATTAATTATTATTGTAATTTGTAATATAATATTATATGTAGTGTTGTGCACAATCAACTTATCTTTGTGGCCCTGATAAAAATGTAAGTCCGTATAATAAATGTATAATATTTAATTGACAACGAATTTTAGTGGTATAATTACGTGACGGGAGGTGTCGTCCCCCCATGAGCTTTTTTCCATAACTGGTACTTGGTAGGTACACACTTCTACACTAGTATTAACGTATAGACATGTACGAAATCAAAATAAGTGTATTTTTTTTTATTTTTTATTAATTAAAGTTTCACTGAAGTAAGTCATCTTAACTTATTGTTGTTGAATTACATTTGAAAATAAGAGTATTAACATCTATAAAAGTAAGCAGTATAACACTTTGTGTCTAACGTGAAATACGTGGTGGTCTGTGACAACTTAAATATTAAATAATAATATTATATTATATTATTATGCACATTTTCCTTATTTATTTCACTGTTTATACTGTCGAAATCGGTGCTATCGATGTATCTATCGTTTAACATGTCATTTAATGCTTCTAAGTTATGATAGGATAGGTAGATGCCGTAGATATACAAATGTTCAATTCATTATAGTAACTAAATAATATTTTAGGGTAATATTCTGCATATTTTACAAAAATGCCCCCCTTCACAACCAAAATACTCTAAATTTCTAAACTAAACTAAATTAAATTACACCACTGACAAATTTCGATTTATATTTATATTTTCGCAATGGTTGTAGAAAACATACCTACGTATGTCGATACGTATTAATGATATACGTATGTCTGAAATCTGAATGTGCAGCTGTTTGAAAAAACTATATAGTTGGTACAAGCATTGGTATTGAAATATTAAAAAAAGTACCTAATCTATTGTAATGTACAATAATTACTATTTATTACTGTGAAACAGTGGCGTAGCCAGAATTTTTTTTTGTGGTGGGGAGGCTGATCAACTTTTACCGAACTTTTTGAGCGACTATCATAGACCATACAAATAATTTTCTTAACATTTTGGGGGTATGCAGCCCCTCCCCCCCGGCTACACCACTGCTGCGAGTGCGTACAATTATATGATACAATATAGATTGCACAGTGGCATATGGATGATTTTTCAATGATGGGGTGATGGTTGAAAATTAATAATAATAATTTTATTTTTATTTTGTCCAGTCTAAAATTTTTAGACGTTTAGCCGTTTAGTAAGGTATTTGCAAGAGTTTGCACAACGTCAATTTCTCAACTTATCTAGTAAAAAAAATGCTCTGATCATCAACTCGATGGATGTTTTTGGTATAAAATTGGATCTATAGATACTCTGTTCGACTGTTCAAGTTAAGAAATGTAGCCGACTTGTGCTCCGTCGCGTGGCAATACTATACGGCACTGCGGCAGACAATTGACTGGGTGGGGTCGACAAATCACAAATGGATGTTATTGTCATGACTGTGGCTCGACAAAAACTGGTCGCTGAGGACTACACGTTTCTTAACTTGAACAGAGTGTAGTTGGTACTTTTGGGAAGTTTAAGTTAAATAATCTCAGTACTGTTTAAAATAATCTAAATAAAAAAAAATAAAATTTGTTCGAATTTTGATGATTATTAAAAAAATTTTGGTAACCTCAGCCTGATAGTCCCCCTCTCCCCTTTCATAGGCCACATGATATGCAAGATTATGGATGATTCCCGGGCCCAGGCCCCAGAGGCGTGTTAAACGAGGTGCAAAGGGGCATTTGCCCCCGGCGTCAAAATTTGTAAATATTTCATAGACGGTATTCGTATACTAATTGTTTATACATTTTGTGGTTTTTTGGTAATAAATTAATTTTTCCATCAGTGATTAAATATTTAAATATGTTATAAATTGAATGTTGAAGATTTAAGTATTACATGAAATATATTTTTTATAATAATAACACTTTTTTGCTTATACCCACGAATTAAGATATACTTAATAATAGATATATCTTAATTCGTGCTTATACCTTTATGGCTATACATAAATCTTATTCGAATGATTACAATAATAATACAAGCATTAATGTGTAAACGCATTCGAGACTCGACGGACGAGGATATTGCTGCACACTGTAAGTTATAATAATGACTATAGTGTAGTAAATATAAATAATATTAAGTATCAACACTATTAACTATAAATAGTTAATAGTTCTCCTTATAATATCATATATTCATATTTATGATAGGCATTGGCGTACCTGCATTATTGTGAATTCATAAAAATACTTATAAAGCAAGCGGGCAACTTCTCAATATCCAGTCGTGGTTAATTATTAATTTATTTTTAAAAATTGTTTACATATAAATTATAAGTATATAACAGAATTATCACTATATTGTTATAATGCTCATTAGTAAGTGGGTTGTAGACAGTTGGTTGTAATTTGTAGTGCTGTCAAGACGTGTACAAGTGTAATTTTGGTTTGTATTCGAATATAATGTCTTCAAAAAGAGTAAAATTAGGTGGTGCAGAATAAAAAAATAGCAAAAATAAAACAGTGTTACAATTAGATGAGTTAAAACGAAAAATTACAAACTTTTTTTACACTACCAGTGGTAAGTACTTCCCTATGTCTAATACGAATAATTATTATTAATTAGTTATACTATAAACTATTTAGCCACAATACATACCCAACAATTTAGTAATTTTATGTAAAATATTTTATAGCGCTGTACTTTTAATATTCAACATAGGTATTCAACATTTTTCATCACAAATATACCTGAGAAAATTAAGTTTTACCTTATCTACCAAGGTATTTAATTAAACCCGGTTGTATCTTGGTCGAATTGTATTAATCATACTAGTGTAAGGTTAGGTTAGGTATGGATTTTTATTTTGAGAAACAACCTATATTTGTTATTTGTCATCTATTTTTTTGAAGCTTACATTAGTTATCCTCAGCATTTAAAATGTGTTCATAGTACCTACTATAGTAGATGTCCCAAGTAAATATTAAGATATTATCAAGATAAAACACAATAATAAATTATGAACTAATATAAAAAAACTATTTCTATATTATAGGTATTTATTAATTTTATATTAAGAAATATATATTACATACATTTATTAATATCTAAATAGTCCCTTTACACATAATCTCTTATCGTTCCATCACTATAATTATCTTAATAAATAATAATGCTCCTTTCACCTGTCCTGTCTTATGCAAAAGGCTCTACTTTTATTAATTAGCAATGGTTCTATGTGAAACCTTTTACATTATTTTTCTTCAGATGTCTATAGCACTTTAGCAGTATTGTTTGCTTATATATTATGATATCACATCTTATATTTAAAATAATACGGTACTGTAATTATGTTTTGTAATTTCCGAGTTTAGCCTATTACAATTGACAATTGTAATAAATAAATAAATAAATAACTTACAAGTTATTAAAACATTATAATTTAAAAAAAAAAATACACTTGTTTTGTAACTTAATATAAATTATAAATCATTATACTTTATTAAATTAAAAATTGAAGCTTAAATATAAAATAAAAAAAAATTAACAGTGTACAATATAATATGTTTAGTTTTATATAACTTATAAGGACTTTGTGACATGGGTGGATAATTGCCATCAAGAAGTGTGTTCTTTAGTATAATTTTTAGACAATGTAACATATTTAGTAATTTACTCTAATAAATTATAATTGATAAGTTACAATTTTAAATTTTTATACATCCATATTTTGTTGACTTTATTGTAAATAAAAAAATGTTTCAATTTAATGATTTTGTTTGAAACTGCAACTCTGTTATTTAAATATCCTTGTGTTGAATTCATGTATCAAAGTGGAACTCAGAAATTATTAGAGAGCTTAAAAAGTAGAAAAACAAATGTTAGATAAGGTTTAGCTAAACATTAGGGTATATATTGCCTAAATAAATTTAAATGTATTTGTAACAGTTCATATGGGTTAAATTATTTTTAAATAGTTATAATAATTTATAAATTGATAAATAATTATTTTTCTAAGATTTAATTATTGAAAATTACATTTTATCACGTTCAGTACCAAGATTGATAGTTTTGGTGTGCTAACCAATGTACTCTTAGAAGTTAGAAGTGATATATTTTTTTAAGCATATTTTTGTTTTATTATATTTAATGTTAGTTACACAATAATGCTCTAATTAAAATATCTAACATATATAAATTAGAGTATAAATATGGTTTACTACGTATTGAATGTCAAGATCATTTCAACAAATGATTACACATTAGAATATGCATATTGAATCTAAATTATAAATATATACCTAGCCCACATCAGTTTTAAAACCAATTAGTATTTGTTTCTAACCACTATATTCTTTTTCTTACACAAATATCTAACTTATGTTTGATTATAATTTATTATAATTACTTGAGTTTCCACATAGTTTTATACACCTCTCTTAGAGTTGACTTCATATCAATACAACTTTCATCAACTTGTATTTGTTGAATGTGAGTGACCGCATCATCGCCCAAAATATTCTTGATCAACAAACTGTTTGAAATTAATTTTTAATTATTAATTTATAGACAATTATTCACAATTTTGGTAATTTTGATAGATGTTTAAAATATATTCATGATATGATGGTAGTCGGAAAAAAGCTCAGATATCAAAATACGGTAAAAAAAAAAGCCTCGTACCAACTAAATACATAACACTATTTTATTATAGTGTAGATTTTATGGATTTTTCAATTTTTTACCTTTTAACATTTTTTTATATTATGTACAAATGACAAATGACAATTATTGACAATGTAAAATGTAGATTGTAGCTATACTTGTGTATCAGTGGTGGCGGGATATAGGACTATTTGAAGCAATTGCTTCATGTCTGAAATGGGTGGGTGGGTGTATAAGCATATTTATAATCGTAAGACCTCAACACAAATATGGTAAATATTTTAATTAATAGTTATTAATGTCCCCAATGCTAATTTTAGTTCAATGAAGGGTGGTAAAAATATTTAAAATATACAATATGCTTCAAAATCTCCACTATTTCGCGCCGCCACTGTTGTGTATTAAATTTTATTAATTAAGACATGTTAAGGAATGTTATTGAATTATTTATTATATATATTTTGATTTGGGTATGGTGTAAGTTTTATGATTTTTTAACTGTAATATGATTAGTTATTGTTTAATAACATATACTAGGTGCAATTTTTTTTATAGTTATCTTTTAATAAAATAAATGTATTACGTAGTATAATAAACTAGATGCATATAATAATATAACGAAATGATTTAATAACTAATGAAAAACAGTTTTTAACATTAATTGATTAATTTTAGGTGTATTAGTTTATTAAATATTATTATGACCGAAAACTATAAAAGTATAATATACAAATTATTAAACTAGTATTTTATAATATTATATTTATGGTTATATAGATAATAAATTATGTTAAATTATGTTAAAGAAGTGTTACAAAGATAAATGTAATGATTATATATTTAATTATGTAAGTCATTATAAAAAATAATAATGTATTTAGTTGGTACGGGGCTTTTTTTTCCGATGAATGTTGTTAGGGGCTTTTCCCCCCTAGATTCCATGATATTATATAGTGCAATATAGTGGATTCAACTATTTTAGTTTTTAGCAATACAAATGACAAAACAAATAACAATCACGCTTTCACTGAGCATATGAATAATTCATGCCCATACAATCGTATGCTGCTAAGTACTTTAAAACCAATCATACATAAAATATTAAAACTCCTTAATTTTTAAAGATCTGCATGGATCATAATCTAAAAATTATAACCTACTTTATTTTCCACATTGTTCTGAACAGTGCCATAAGATTTTCATCGTTCGACTTAACGTCTTCTGGCAATTTACTTAGACACTGGTTAAACTTTATTAATAGAGATGGAAAATAATGTCTCAAGGTATTAATGTTCTTTGTTCTATTTGAAATCAATGACCGACAAAAAAAATATATCATTCAAATTAGTAAATGTAAATTCGTAAAAGCGTAGAGAGTCGGAACATGTACTTACACTTCTTTTTTAATATTTTTGGTGGCCTTTTTTCCCCGCGGCATTATTTATCCTTTGTATTTTTTTCTCTGATGGACTTACTTTAAGCAATGGTTTAAATATTTAGCCGTTAACCTGTACTCTTTCGTTAGTTAATTTCTTTGTCAACGGCGAGTTTACCGTTTAGTGCTTATACTTTCGACTGTAGTTGTGACGGAGGTTCGACCGGGCAACTGGCTTGCTGGCAAATGGCAAAAAAAAATCAGAACAACGACTAGTCCATGACTTTTAGACGTGTTGACAAATCACAGCTCGCCGTGCCGTATACTATTTTCTGATTGGCTTACTAAAACACGGTATTAAAAGTTTTATAAAGGTTTTGTGATGGTATACCAATATACCACAGTCAACCTTATAGGTCTACCAAAACGTAGCCATGATGACCGTGAGCAACCTACTGCAGGTACATCGTGCGAGGGAGCGGTAACTATTGTTAGGTACAACTGGTGACCATATTGGTTTAAAAGTTGAGCTTAGTAAATTCTTCGTATACTTGGTTGAAACTTGTTTATTACAAGATACCAAAAAAGTAATGTCCAATCGCACTACGATTTGATCGACACGACACCAGTGATGGATCCAGGGGAGGACGGGGCATTTCCCCCCCAATCACCGTAGTTTTCCTTTGTTTTACACTGTGTTTAGCCAATTTTGGAACTTTTTATACTTTCCCCCCCAAGCCCCTCCCAAAATTAAGCACTGGATCCGCCACTGAACGATACACATCCCGCTTAGTATTAAAATTTTGACCATGGTATAGAAGTAATTATAAAAAATACTATTTTTAGATATTTATGCTTTCTGTTTATAACGTCGACATAAAAACCAATTTGTCTTATATTATGTCTATGGTTTAAATCCATTAATTCCTTGTGATTAGGGATTTAATATTTTCCAGTTGGTACACATAATATTACGAGGTATACAGGACACAGGTATACTTACTTAATAATGTATTATAAAAATAGTATTTAAAGATTCTCAGCAGAGCTGCTTTATGAATGTACCTATATTGACTTTACAACGATGTGATTTTTCTCCACTTTTATGTCCGAGGTCATAGTAGAAAACGAATTCGTTATTAATTTTAATAATTTTATCAACAGGTTAAATCAACAGTTTTACCAGTAAAGGTAAGAATATTATCGAAGCCGCACGAGCCTATATTAATACCTAGAAATTGGAATAATATTATCTAAGTCTGCGAAATTGTACATACTTGCTACCACGAACTACTACATGTACCTATAGAGTAGTTCGTGCTTGCTACGATAATAATAATAATAATAATATTATTATTATAGTGAACGTCGATAAATAATATCGAAAATCCATCTTTAATTTTCGACCAGCTTATAATATATTATATTTATACGTTTCTCATATTATGTCTTTTATGAAAATTGCAAAAAACTATTTACATAATAATATCAGTCGTTCGTCCGCAAGTGTCATACGGTAATTCATAGGCGCAACTATATAGACCAGTAATATTTTTAGGGGTGCACAAATTTCAAAGGTTTCCTGTATAATTTCCCCTATTAAGTATTAACACTGTATATACCTATATTAAAAATAATTTCAAATGTATATTTATGTAGTAATATGTACTACCTATATTTTTAATTTTTACAGTGAATTGTGACTACTATATATTATACCTATACATGATTTTTTGGCCAGTAAATTGTATTTATTAAATTACTGCTAGTTCAGACTTCTGGACGACGTCGTCCACCTATCTCAATTGTACATTTGTACCCTAATCCATAATGCCATTACAATTATTTTTATTCAGTTGAGTAGGTACTTTTTAACTATGACTGATTTGAACTAGAATTAGAATAGCTTTAAACAGGAGGACTATAATATTAAATCGTTAATTTCTTGTTAAAAAGTTTTTTTTTTTAAAATTCTACTTGTACTATTATGGACGTAAATAATAGGAGCAGCCTTAGTGGAGAGCTTTACCTATTTGGTATTAATTGTTTGTATCGAGTGTTGGCCATAAACACAATTTAAACAAACGTACACAAACAAGTTTTTCATTCTTATTATCATAATAAATAATATATATCCTAACTCGGTAGTATGCTGCCTAATTATTAACTTTTCTCGCACCATATTAATTGTTTTAGAACTACCAAATTTTCACAACACGTAAAGAAAAACTTTATCTGTGCAACAGGATGCTTTTTTTTTTTTAATAACAATATCCTATAATTTTTTATAAGTAAATGAAAATAACAAAAAAAAAACGAAATGTTTAGAAGCAAATAACTCTTATTGTATTTCTGTTATCTAAAATATAAGCACGCTGTTCCATGGATAATTTTCTACCCTATATGTTCAGAAATTTTGGAGTTACTACTACAAACACAGAAAGATAAAAGTTGTCCCCCGCAAAACAGTTTTTGCTATGTTGTACCATCGTTCTGTGGTTGTACATTTGTAAGACGGAGACAACATACGCGGGTGTAACGTACTCTTAATGTTATTATTTATTAGTTATTACTGTTTTAATTTTGTTCAAAATACATTTGTATATAATATAATATAATATTATTATAAAACATCAGTTTTTAATTTTAACGTTAAATTCGATATTTATTTATTTATTTATTTATATTAAAATATGTTTTATTGCTGTAAATGGCAAAAAACACGTTTAAAATCCTATGCCACTCGTAAACAAAGTCAGACAAATATATTTTAATTTTTAGCATCTTAGCGTTGTAATGAATATAATTTTGGTTACAAAAAAATATGTTTTTTATAGTGTACCTATATATTTTTTAGGAGCAGTATAAAAGTTTAAATCTTCGACTTTGAAGGTTGTTTCTGGTGGTAAATTGAATTTAATTAGTAAGTAGGTACTATTCAGCATTTAAAATTTTAAACTTTACCTATTAATTTTTTTTAAATTTATGTATAAACAATTTGTTCGTTTATTTGTTTTTTTTGTTCGTCAGTAAAAAATTAAAAATTCAGTACAATAATTCTTATACTTTGATCTTACCGTAATTAAAAAATACAGTTTGGAGTTCAAATTTTTTCTAAATTTTCCAAAATCACAAAAATATGTAAACTGTTTTGTATAATTAAAATTCATAATTTGTTTTTATGTTTTAATATTTTATATTATTATTTATTCAGCAAAATCAATATCATTATTTCAATACAATAATACAATAGTCAAATTACAAAAGTTAAATTACTACAATAATAGTGATAAGAGCTGATACGTATACAAACTGAGCAAGCTCGTTTCTGGTAATCAGGTATACGGAGTTCCTAGTTTCCTACACATATTACTTATATAATATAATAAAATAAAATGTCATGTGTAGTCTTATACAATTGAGAATGATGTATAAAAATACAATATATTTATATATCTAAAAAAATGTTACATTAAATGGTTTATCGAAATTTGGATAACTAAGAATCGGTTCACTCACTAACACATCTTTTAATGTTTCAAAGGCCTGTCGACACAGATTTATCCAATCATATAGTAAGTATATCATTTTTTAATAATGAGGTTAACGGTTTTGCGATTTTACCATAATTTTTCTGCGGTAATATCCTGATAGTCCTAAAAAACTTTTTAATTGAAAAGACGTGTGTTTGTTACTTTATTTAATAAATCTATATTCAAACTCTACAGTGGCGTATTTACGGGGGGGTCCATGGGGTCCGGACCCCTCCCATTGACTCGTGTCTCGTACATGTTAAATGTTGTGCAGTTTTTACATGATTAAAAAACAAATTTTATCATACGATTTTACGGATTGTATAAAAAATTTTCGAAGCTATAGTTATATCAACATTTTCAATAAATATCGTGATTATTTTTATCAGTTGGGTACCGGAAATGGTTGAAAAATACCAAATTCATCATTCTTTAATTCAAATATTTTGTAGTTTTGTACATTGCCAGTATCTACAACCACTCCAGAGAGATCTTTTTCAAACTTTTTAAGGTTGAAAAGTTATCTAAGATCAACTATGAATGAAGTAGGTACCTAATGTAATTAAGGAAATATTTGTATAAAAGTTATAACATATAACTATATTTATATATTCGATTCTGAGGGATCTATTGGTTCTACAATACTGTTTATTTTTTTTTCCTGTATACAAAATTTCTTCCAGAAGGAGTGCTTCGATTTCAACATGTATAGACATATAGTAACTTATCTTTTAGAAAATTGGATCAAGATTACTATCTTAGAGAGGTCATTTTTTGATTTTCTCAATAGTTATTTAATGCCACTGTAAAAACCACCAAAAAATTACGAAAAACCTCTAAAAATGGGATTTTAATTTCTAACACTTTGTCTATCACCATAGAAAAAAATAAAAAATAAAAGTATTTCATTATTAATTCAACTAACAGGCTATAATAAATAATAACAATATAAAATATCCAGACTAACAAACCGTCTTCGCTCAGAATCGTTTTTCTTATACAATGATATTATATTATATCATTGAGTTCAAGTTTAATACAATCCATTATACATTGACCCACTTGTAACCTACTGTACAGCAGCAGAGTGACATCCACTCACCCGCTTTTTTTTAAATTTGTTTTGTACATATTATTATTTAATAATTAAAAACTCGACAATTTTATATCGTCTTATAAATATGGTATATTTTATTTAATAAAGAGTAAATGGGTGGTGTGGGGGGCTTCGTCCCCCGTGGCTCTGTGTTCTGGAGTTCTGGACCCTCCCCATGACAAATTCCTAAATACGCCACTGAAACTCTACAAGTTTCATTGGTTACATTGTTTCATGTATATAAATTTCTATTATACATTTTTTGAAATTATCAATTGTTTTCTACACATAAAAATCAATTTACGTATTGACATCTTTAAGCTTTGTATTTTTTGCAGTTTCAGTTGTTTTTATTAGTTTCGAGTACAACAAAACAAAAAATTAATACATTTTTATATGATTATATTTAATTGATTAGGTTAGGCAGGTATATAAATGTTAAACATGTACGCCCAACACCTGTATTTTGTCCAAGGAGTGATGCAACGAAGTATCTGTATTATATTCATTTAATCAGTATACCTATTATACCATTTTTTTTTTTTTAATGATCGTTATTGCTATTGTGCTGGTGTTGGTGGTGGGGAGGTTTGAGGCTGCAAAATATGTGCCTCCGGCGGCATTTTACCTTAGCGTCGCTGTATCTCATAAATTTAAGAGAAGTGAAATAAAATTATTTACATTTTTGATTTCCCCCCTTTTTATCATAAATATATTCAAATTTCATGATTGGTTTCTTCAGCTGGTAACAGTGTAACAGTGGCGTAGCCACGGGGGGCTAAGGGGGCTATAGCCTCCCTCCATTGACTGTGTTGACCTTAGAGTATTATTAAGATTAATAAAAAAATAAAAAGTGTAAATAAAAGACATAATATTGTAATTGGATTTTAGATTCTGAGTGGAGCGATGGATCTATTGGTTTTACAATAGTCTTTATTTTTTTATTTTGTTTACAAAATTTCTACTAGAAGGATTGCTTCGATTTCAACATATTCTAGTCTCTTATTTTTTAAAAAATTGGATCAAGATGGTACTTTAAACAGGTTATTTTTCGATTTTCTCAATAGTTATTTAATGCCACGAGAAAAATCACCGATAAAATACAAAAAACCTATAAAAATGGGATTTTAATTTCTAAAGCTTTGTTTATCACCATAAAAACAAATAAAAATAAAAATAACGATTTTATTTATTTTGTTGTAATATATAATATTAATATTCAACGTACAGGCCTATAATAAAGTATAATAACAATATAAAATACCCAGACTGACAAACCATCTCTTCTCAGAATCGTTTTTCGTATATAATGATAATATATCATTGAATTCAAATGTAATACAATCCATTATACAGTGACCCACTTGTAACCTACTGTACAGCAGAGCGACATCCACTTACCAGCTTTTTTTGTACTTTTTTGTGATACTTAGCCCTCCCCATACAAAATTTCCTGGCTACGCCACTGGCTGGTAATGCCTGGTACCTACGCTAATCTAATATTTATTGGGTATTAGCATATTATGCGGAAATCCATTAAAATGTGATGGGGCTAACATTATTTAAATCAATAATGTGAGTGGTAGGGGGTGGGGGCTAACAAACTTATTATAATATTGCCTATTGGTACTATAACTATAATAAATCTATACCAGACTATACTACTGTACTCATCGGCAACTATACTGTATTATACGATATTGTAGGTATCTGGTACCTACAATAGGTACTCCTATATTGAGTATTAAGTAATTTCTTAGATACCACAATTTCGATTTGTCTAAAAATTTTAAATATATTATTATTTTGGTTTAAGTATATGAATGTTTCGTCTTTATACGGTTCTATTATTATTATTATTAAATATATGTACCAGGTACAGTAGTACCAGTGATTAGGACGTATATCATACATTCATATATTTATACGTTATTTTAAGGTGACCGTATAGGTAGGTTATATAATATAGATACGTATATAACTATTAAGATACAGTATACGGAAATAAAGAAAAGTGAGATCTTTATGTATACCACTGCCGACTCCCCTCTCTACTTTCACTCATTATGAATTACCTACCTAGGTATACCTTATTAAGGTAACCTAAAAGGCTTGGAAGTTGAAAGATTCAATCATTTTCATTTATATAATATAGGTACAACTCTTATTGTAGTTGCCTATATTAAACCCCTTAAAAATCGTTATTGTACTCAAGTAGTCAGAGGCGTATTTAGGATTTTTCCGCCCTGGTATACATTTTTTTAGTGCCCTTTCTCATCGGTTTTGTTTTTGTGGAAATTTTTTTCACCCATAAAAATACTTAGGTACATCACAATAATATGTGAATATGTGATATGGTAATAGTATCAATGCAGCCAAGGCCGTAACTGGAATAAAATTTCGGGGAGGGGGGGGTCTAACATTTTTTTAAATATAGATACTAAACACTTAATTTTTACGTTAAAAATATAAAATTGTATTATTATCATTATTAAAAACATAAGTCTTTATTATAATATTGAAAAAAATGACAGTGGGGACATCATCAGTCTAAAATAAATAAAGTAGTAGGTACTTTTTAATTGGTCTATATACTATAGGTATATTTTATATAATAATAATCAAATAAAAAAGTAAATTTTTAACATACCTTTAGTCTCTTTGTAAAATAATTTTGAAGTTGGTTTCTTTTACTCATTTTTTACAGTTTACGTGAGCACGAACAGCAGTAAAATGATTTTACAATACACACAATATTGTTATATTCTTGTTTCATAATCTTAAATAATTTGGATTTTCTGCGACCGAATTTCATATATAAGTTTATATCATCTGGGACAATAACCTTTTATTGTAACTAGTACCTAACCGTATCTATCAATCCTAATCTTTATTACGACGTTGAAATAAAATAAAATGATAAATTTTATCTTATTTTAAATTACTGCTTTAACGAAAATATACAATTATTATTTAATTCAATTTATAGTTAATAAACTATATTCACCGCTAAAATGTTTCTACTTTTAAAAATTTCGGGGGGGGGGGGACCCCCCCAGTTACGGCCTTGAATGCAGGATATAAATCTATTGAGTGCCCCAGAATGTTGAATATCGATGGTAGGTACTCTCAGTAGCACCAAATAACGAAATAATCAAAGCAAATAATTGTAAAAGGTATTAATTTTTTTTTTGTCTATTTATGAGATTGTCAATATATCAAAAATTAATATTTCTTGAAAAAGACATCGATAATGGACGCATAATGGAATACGGCCTTATGGAGTATTGCATTAAAATCGTTGTTAAAATCAATGTAAATATTTAAAGAAAACGACCAAATCGTCAAATGATAATAATTTTTATTTTATTTTTTTGAGTTACACCAGACAATGAAAATCAATTTTGTCAAAAATTTGTGCCTTGTTTAAAAATGTCCGTTTTTCCTTAATTTTTTTTTGTTTGCCCTGACTTTTTTGAAAAATAATGGAATATTCTTTAAATTACCGACTAGATTTACTTTCTCGCTATACAAAAAATACTGAAGTTGAAAATCGAAACATTATTTCAACTATTTATCGTGTATACAGACCGGACAAAGACAAAAAAAAAAAATCATCACATTGTTGTAAATCATTGTCTTCATCGGTCCTCTACTCCTCTCAGAATCTAATAATATTATGTATGAAACACAATAATAATAATATTATTGTCATCAGTACCTAATTGTTTATTATTATAAATAGTTAGGTAGTTATTAAAATTATCAATGCAATGAGTCCATATGTATATATCTTAAAATAGTTTTTGTAAAAAAATACTATTTCTGGTACGTTTAAGTTACGTACGAGCGAGTATTATCAGATGTGGAGATTGATTGCACAGAATGGCTTTTTTAATATTTAAATATTAACCAAACGTTTTGTTGACATTGATTTGCCTGACTGCCTAAATCATTGTAAATCGGTTTTTTTAAAAAAAAAAAAGGCATTCAAAAAAATTTGTTGCAAACAAAATAGTGCTTTTAGGGGTAATTTCCCCCTAAAATACGCCACACTGCACGTAGTACATATTCCGATATTCGTATTAATTATAGTATTTAAGTTAGGTATTCGTATATTGTATGGTATAAATGTATAATGTATAAACTATAAAGTAGGTACCCGCGATACCTGAATCAACTAATATAAATAAGTATTTAAATCATATCAGATATAATAACGTCGAGTTTTAGAATAACAACCACTGTTCAAAAAGGGGGGGGGGGTAAAGCCTTTAGCCCCCTGGGTGTGCACCAGGTTGCACCCTCTGCAACAAAGGTCAGAACACCTCGCCTATGCAGTAAATAAAATATGTTATATTTTGTTCACCAAATAAAAAAGGCAATAAAATAAATGTTTTTTTCCGATGTGCCATATTAATATAATTTATAGTCATCATTTAATCATTGTAAACCGTAAAGTGTACGTTATTCAGCGCATCTAATAAATTCAAGTTTTACGAGTTATTATTAGCACCAATCCTCCAAAGTATATACAATATACATATTACATATATACCTACACTGAATACTGATGTGGGTGCTAAATTAGTTTTAACTACCAACTTGGTGTATAAAAATAAAAAATGTTTTCAAACATACTTTTTGACTACTAAACGAATAGGGAAATATAAGTTTAAGGTGGTGAAATAGAAAGTAGTGGTTCTCATTTAATTTTCAAAATTCAACTGAACAATAAATTGTTTAACTTCCAAAAAACAACTCTACCTCAATACTTTCATATTAGGTCTTAGGTATCATACATTTATAGTTATTTCTCGATGTTTACAACGGTAAACGATATAAATTAACAATGTTGTCGAACGCGAATTTGCTGTTCGCTATTTGTGCCTCCGTATGAATTAAAATCGTTATAATTTCATGAAATGTTCCTACATTATTGTCTATTAGTAGACTATTATATAGTATACTGTATAAGTATAATATTATAGTCATTACTCATTAGTAATACACTAATACCTTATTAAACAAATAATATGGTTTGATATTGTTGTGCGACTGGGTAGACGGTCGTGGATTGATTCTAATATACGACGAATACGATAATCCGCGGTTGTACGGTAAGACCGCTGATGTGATTAGAAAAAAAAATGTTTATTCTCGGAGTGATGTTGCCGAGACCTTGACCCCTTGGCCGACGGACGACGATTGTTGCCTGTTGGTCACACTGGTCGCCGGTCCCGCGGTACCGTCGATGATGGTGAACGTTGCACGGAACGGTCGGTACAAAAAAGCCTTCTCGAAAACGCCGACAATCAACCGGATAACCAACGATTACGAGACGGCAGCTACACCGCACTGGTGCGTTACTGCAACTCCGATGCGGGCAGCACCTAGTATAGTAAAGTACATTTTCGTCTCCACTACGCGGGTGTCGTGCAAAACAGTGGCTGTTGGACTGGACGAGCGGAGGCTGTTTTCTCTTCCACGGCAGTTCCCGTGATACGACCCCCCCACGCGTCCCTTCGCGATGTGTGGGACAACATCATCCCCCCTCCGACCGTAGGTGGCCGTAGTGGCGGTAAGTCCGTCGTGTTCCGTTTCGCGTCGACGGGTCGTCCGTGTCCCCTTGGTCCGTTCCGCTGGTTCCGTTAACCATTATCCGCCGTCCGAGTTTCGAGTGCCGCCGTTTTGGGTTTCTCGTAATCGTTTCGGAGTGCGCGCGCCCGTTCCGTTGGGCCGTTTGTGTCGTCCGCCGTCCGGCCACTGCTACCACCGGCGGAGTTCGCTGGCCGCCGGAGGGTCTGGTGGACACCGAGGGCTCTGTACCGTCGACTCGCAGGCAACGAATGAGATATGTGGACGGACGCCGTACAAATGGATTTGGCATCGACGTTACTGTCCGGTGAGTAGCATTGCAGTCTCTCTGGACGCACGTCAACGACGACTCGTTCTTATTACAACCCTAGATGCTAGGGTATCTATCTCGACCTATAGTTTACTGTGGCCCGTTGCTCACCACCACCAATCACTAGACGGTTGTTTTTGAGTTGAAATTTATTTCCGTAATAGTTTCGGTACACACATTCATAATAACATGTGATGTATGTTATAGGCATACACAGACACACTTGCAAAAGTTGAGGGTTTTTAAAAAGTTTTGTTTGCGTTTCTCTTTCTTATCGACGGTTCCTGGTTCAGCTTTGTTTTTAGTTGTTGCAATTTACCTATAGACCACAAATCGTCATCTTTGTCGGACTGCCTTCATTACCTACTCTTTTACCAGAGATTGTTCTTTGTCGGTGGTATTTGGATTCTTAAAAATGCACCAAGTTAACTGCAATTTTTTGTTAACATTGAAAACTTTTCTCTATGAATCCAGCAATATGTATTTCGTATCGATGTATGAATGTAATAAATTATCTGAAAGTTATCTTGGGCACCAATTGTTATAAATTTCTATTGATCTATCGATTGACATTTTTCTAAATGTCAATATCATTATTGATTGTTTTGTACGCAATACCTAGACATTAATTAAATGTAATGGCTGTTGTTAGTATGTTTTTTCATATTGTTTGATTCTTATCAGTCTTAAACCTCTTATTAGTCAGAATAACGTAGTAAAGTTAGTGTAGCTATAATCATTAATGCAACGTTGAAACTTGAAGTTCGACTACTTTATTTGTTCTCTTTTTATCATTTATTTAGCCGTATATCCTAATATTACACATAAACATCGTATATACATATAATATTTAAAAATTTTTTGTTTATTTACCTAGGTGCAATTTTTCATAATTTATTATATACCTACTATAGGTACCTCCTACCTAATCTATAACGGTATGTGAGCACTTATGAATAGAAATTATTTTTGAATTGTTACTCGGGTCTTTGATAAACAAAAAATTTATAAGAATTTATCAATTTTAAAAAATCACAAAACATGTTGGTGTGGCATTTTTTGTTTACATATACAATGTCTTATCAATAATAATAGATAAGTGGTTTATATTGAATTGACATATTTAATAGGTACCTACTGTTATTAAATTTGAAATTAGGTACCTGTTATAGTTAATTGTGAATGTCCACAGCGAAACTAGACAATTTTATTAGAACAGAATAAATATGAAAATAAACCATAATCACAAAATAAGTTTTTAATTTTAATTTTAATTTTAAATTCTATTAAGTCGGTATATTATCCAGTCGGTATTAGGTCAGGCCATTGGCTGTTTCACCTATGATTGTATCGACCAGAGTATCAATTTTTGTTGACTTATTTTTGTTATCGCTGTTATTAAGTAGGTACCTATCAAAATTTGTGATTTTATTTAAATTCTTCAACTGTTTTATTTTGTGGTTACTATGATAATATTGTGAGTGGTTTATTCATTCTTGAATAGTAGGTAGGTATATCTATTGATACATTTAAGTTTAAATTATATTCTTGCTAAGGTTTTAGTTGCTATCGAAATTGCTATGCTCTAAAATCAATAACTTGAATTTCAGAATTAATGGTTTCAAAATATTTTTGTTTCTGGAACTGTTTGGTTTGTCCAAACACACTTTAATTGAGATTTTCATTTAGCTAATCTACAGTCCTTTAATTTTTTTTTTTTAATATTTGAACAATACAGGAGTTACACTTAATGTGATCACAGTGGTGCATCACATTTTGATTCTATTAACCAGTTGATTGATTCCATAAAAGATTTTTTTTTCTTATATTTCTATTTTTTTAAGCAAACTTAAAATAAAATGAAAACAACATAAACAAAATTAATTAAAATAAGGAAAAGTAACTAACAATTTTGTTTTTGATTTGACTCTAGTGACATGTAATTTGATTTTCATAATAACCTGAAATAACCCGGTAGGTATACATCATAAAAATAATTTTTGCTCGGTCAAAAAAATTGAAAATGTAATACAAGATCCATTGTAGGTAAGTGGAAATTAAAAATAAAATTTCAGTGTACCTATATCCATAATCATTTTTTTCTAAGTGAGAAGTTTGAATTTTGACCAAAATCATGAAAAGTTGCAAAATATTTTGAGTTAGACATTTTTAAAAAAATATCTTTTATATCTAAGATGTAAAAATTTTATACAAAATTCCTCATAAGTTTGTCTACTTAAAAAAAAAAATTTCTCCTGGAAAGTTGAATCAAATATTTCTTTTGTTGGGTCAAATAGCTAGAAAATTTAATACAAGGCTCAAAATATCAGTTTCCAAATATTAAAAATACATAGGCAAGATTTTTTTTAAAGTTCAAAGTTTGACAACATTTATCAAATTGAAAATTTACAAATTATTTTGCATTATTTTAAAATTTATAAAATGTTAAATTTTTATAGCTAAGGATTAAAAATTAAAAATAAGATTCCACATAACTAAATCATACTGTAACCAAAAAATTTAAAAAATAAACAAACACAGTTTTTTGATAGCTATTTCAAGTTCAAGTTTGGACAACATTAGATAGGTACCTATTGAAACGAAGAACAATGATTTTAGTTTAGTGTCATAGTTTAAAAATATTATTCATGGGTACTTGAAATTTCTAAAGTATATTATTCTATAAAAATAATAATTATAGATACGAATAATTATTAATACGAATAATATTAATTTACTTACCGGCTAACAAATTAATAATAACAATTTAAATATAATATAAAATATCTTAGACTGAAAAATCGTCTCTGAATCGGTTTTTGAATTCATTGATATTATAATTATATCGTTAAATTTGAATTTAACACCATCCATTATAGATATCCACTACTATATAGCAAAGCGTCTTACTCGTTTTTTTTTTTTTTATATATAACTCGTTCCGTTTGCTCGACGTAATTTAAGAACAATTTTTGAATATTAACTACAACAATTATATTAAACGACAGAATATATATCGATACATTGATAAGTTTTAAAATCCAATTGAATTGTATACTTCATACCACGCTTAATACCTTATACCAGCTGTTGGTCTCCTAACATAATCAGTCTGAAAAACCATGAAATCGAAAATATTTTTATAAAAGTGATTTAATTATCCAGTACGTTAGTGATTCTATTAAAAGGTCAATTTAATATTCTTAACATACAATTTGGTATGGGTTTATCTTTATGATTCCAATAAATGTTTTATTCTATAAACCAGTGATCACATTAAGCGGAGTTCACTGTATTTTATTTTATGTATAATGAGAAGGGTTTGAATTTTTACATTTTAATAGTCTGGATTTTAAAAATGTAGTTCTTGTTTACGAAATATTACATTGATCAATTTATGGACTATGGACTATGGACTACAAATTTCTATTTTTTACCTAAATAATATTTTTATTGCTCAGTTCCACTAATGTTATATTAAATATAATGAATGTTGTGAAATAATAAATTATACCCAATAGATTATATTTTATATTATGTTAACAAATTTTATTAAAATACATTCTTAGTTTTTTAATGAAAATTTTTTTGAATTTCTGTGTTGTTAAAGTTATTATACAATTATTAATTTCTTTATTTGCAGATCGTAAAACTATTTTATAAGATTATATCCTAAAAATTAAAAGTTTGTACACAATTGTATAATTTTATTTAATGTGTTATTTAGGGTTTGACCACAAATCATCATAAAATACTAGATAAAATATCAATTTAAACACTGGACAATAAACAGAACCCATTTTTCTAAAATAAAAATCTTGTTATTTATAAAGTTTATATTATTTTGTTTCAGACTTGGCATTTAAATTGTAGTAAGTCCAAACTTGGTAACATATAAGGTAAGTGGATAAATATTGATTATAGATCTAAAAAAATCTAAATATTTTTGAAATTTATTCCTCCCATATTATGCTACTGATAGTAAGAGTACCTATTATAGCAAAAAAGGAAAATTATCAAGCAATCCCAATATAATCATTTAGAATCGCTAATTTATTATTAAAAATCTTGTTAATGTACGTCTATTGTATAATATTATACCTGGCTGTTAAAAAAAATCATTATTTTGTATTAAGAATTGTACAATTTTGATTGATCAATTTTTATTAAATACCTAGTATAAATTAAATTAGATAGTAAACATAATGTTGACTATACTGTAGTTGATTTGTAGTTAAGGTTTGTTTTATCTTTATAAAAAGTTCTATTTTATTGCATTTAATAGAATAAAATTATATTTCTATGGTGCATTATGGTGTTCATACTACACATAACTTTGAATATATATTTAGTTTTAAGGTAAAAATCAGAGAATCCTTTATTTTTTGTCCCTTTGAAGATTATGAAGAAATACTGGTAAGTTTGGCTTTGCTTAATATGTTAAATATAATTAATTATACTAAATATTATAAATGGTAGGTACATTGATATCTATTGCAGGGTTAGATGCAATGTTATTTACAAAGTAAGTAGTTACGTATAGGTTTTTTTTGCTTTTATACGCTTTCAGTTGTAGCTGACCGTTAATCAAGAAA